ACTGAATATGGACGTTTTACCTTTTGTAGCGAAATTGCCAACTTCTGAGAGAATTCATGGGAGCGTAGGTGGATATGGCGAATAGGCGTCCACAAGTGTCACCGAATTTTCCAGTTCTTACAGACCTATTCAATCAGACAGCACACAGGCGGCTGTCGGCTTTTCCCTAGTCGAAAAGTGCGCTTTCTTCGCGAGAACATAACGCTGTTACTACAGATTGTACGAGAGCTAGTCACTGAATCTTCGGATACTCTCAAAGTGAATTTTCTATTTTCTTGGCATCGACCAGGGGAAGTCAAGTCAATACCATGTCGGGATCCTGTGTACTTGTCTCAGTAATACAGCATACATTCATGACTTGAAATTCCACAGCTCTGGAAAGAGACACTCGTATTCCTATCTGGCCTAGGGTTGGGGCGTAGAGAGGTTAAGTCTGTAATTGTCAGTATGGTGTTAAGAGACTGGGAGTGGTATTTTGTTAGCCTGGATCGTTGGCAGTGGTCAGGGAGCAAAGCGTTTCGAAATTTGCAAAAGGCCTAATACTGCTATCAGTCATTGGAGGTGAGCAAGAGCATAAATATAATGACGGCACGTAATATTTGTTTCGGTTGTGTATACTGCTGGAAGTATGTAGTCGGTTCAAACTCCCCGGCTATCCAGATCGTGGAAATTTTTTATACAGAGTATCTGAAAAATAAGAAGGAAAATGTTTTTCCGACCACAGATTGTGTGGGACATCTGCTTGACGCTTGTCACACAGCCTTATGGTGATTTCTGGTTTCAGACTTGGTTGTATTTACACCGGTTACGAAAAAGCCATATCGCCGGCACCGGAAGACCATGGGATAAAGAGGTGTATGCTATTTTTGAGGCCAGCCTTTTCTAACTTCCCATTCCCTTAGAGAAAGTAGCATCAGAATGGTCTTGCTGAGCATCCACGAGGAACGCCTTACTGCTGTCATAACCTATCCGGTCACCAGTACGACTTCGACATGGGACCCCCATCATAGCGAAGCAATCTATACTATAACTGTAATTACTTTTCATCTTACCACTATTTAACAGACCTTTTTGGTATAGCAGTGTAACAACGTTCAAAGTAACCAACAAGCAAAACTGAACTGTAATTACCTATCGTCAAATAGAAAACACAGACACAACTGGATAATGCTGTTATCAACAACAATACAAATGAACACAACTCATCTAAGTACAATATGAAATTCACATCAAAAACCCTATCTGACTTTCTCACACTACCAAGCTGATTGTGATTCGAATTCGCATTTACTTTCCCTTTGACGTCTCGTTAAAGTCATTAGGCATCTCAAGTAGTGTAGATTGTTAGGGGTCATTGTGATATGCAATGTATAGCATGGATCACATATGCAGTCAAGTTTGTACTTGTTTTCGCGTTTGGCGTTTGAATAAAATTAATTTTATCGTCTTAGACATATATCCACTTTTAGCATTATTATTATTATTATTGTCCTTCAACAAGTCTCATAGGCAATCTGAAAGGGATATATTGTCTCTAACTCAAATTTCTAGCCAAAATCGTCTTAATCAGCTGCTATAGAACATCACTACCGTGTATAGTTCACTTCAGGTGATCTTTTCCATCGTTTTCTCTGTAATATTTTGAGATACAATTACAGTTAAGCCACCTAAGCATTGAATGTATCCTCCTCAGAAAATTAATTGTGATGTCACAAGTATAATTCTCCTCAAGTGCCTGGAGTTGTCTAATATCGAATACTCTACACTACAATGTTATGCATTTCTTTATCATTAGCATATAACAATACACTGGTTTCAGCTTTTCAACCTAACCGTCTTAACAATTTTTTAAGGTAATATATGCCTATCTGTCATGCATAGCTTGAGTAAAGATAAGATGATTGTTGTCTGGTTGGAGACAATCGTCAGGAAGCCTTGCTTGACCTAGACTTCGTGCTTATTGGCACTCGTCAGCAAGATGTATCTACAACCTCGATGAAACTGATGTCCTGCCTGAGACTTGAACCTTCATCATAAATGTATAAGATGATTACTCCTATTGTTCACTTAACTCCTATCCGGTTGCAAGTTAAAGATCGACTTTAAAAGAAGCTGTATCAATCACATCTACTAGATGATTGATAAAGTTTTGAGCATTAAGTCTTAGCAAATATCGGTGTATATCTAAGCCAGTGAAACAATCGATTAGATCTCCAGTTATCTGCTTTCTATTCATGTTGTTTAACAGAAATCACTTTGATGAATGATTTCAGAAATCATTTAAGAGGAGAATAGACTTTAGAAGTTTCAATTTAATAGGGACTTCTGTGTGAATTGACTGTCATCGAAATGTGTGTGTGTGTGTATTTATATGTATGGCATTGAAATCTCCACGTAAAACATCAACTTAGATGATGAATTCATTGTTCAATGGTTTTATAATTTAACTGTTTAGCATTGATGTATACACTTATTGTTTTCAAATGTTTTAATGAATATTTTGTAAACATTAGCTGGATATATTCCTGTTTTACATTGATAATTCAGGAAAAATATGAATGAATTTATTCATATATTATGAATATATACACCTCTCCTACGTTCTGTATCATTAATCGCTGGATGATGGGCGTGTGCATATATTTTCCAGAGTTGCTTATTCATTTTAATGAGTCTTCCTTATGTTTACTGTTATGATCAGCTGATTACTTGCCTGATTAGATGTTACGTGTTAGTTTGTGACACCATTTTGTTATGCATATCTCTCTTTTTACTAGCATACAATAATTATCTCATATTAACTATCTGAGATAGTCATAGTTTAGCTGATTAGTATTTATACTGGGTAATGATTGAAAGTGTAATGAAAAATTTGGACCGTGATAGGATTCGAACCAACTACCGTACATTGGACAACAGAACTCTTTTGATCGAAAAGAATACTTGTACCATTGAATTACAGTTGGCATATATTTCTTTTTTGCATTCGTTTTACGAAATAATAGAGTTGATATTTCACTTGTCTAATAGCCTATCAGCTTATCTTATAGAATTGTATCGATATGAGGATTTCAGCTGGAATCTTTTGCAATCTTAATTCTGATACTCTGTTAGTTGATTTAGATAATGTGGATGGTATAGTCGTGACAAAGACTATGGGCTTCTAATTGCTTCTAATAAAGTTTAGGATAGGTTTGATAAGTGTTCTACACTTTTAAGATATCAGATAATCTTTTACGATTAGTCTGACTAAGATAACTAGTCTAATGGCAGGAAATGGTTAGCCATGAAATCTCAGCTTGAATACAAAACATTAATTGAGTATTTCGATACTTTATGCCATTTTTGGATTTTGCAAGATATCTAACTACCTTTGTTGTATTGTGTTCTTTGAGCTGGGTTGTTTAATTGTGGAGCCTTCATCATCTTGCGAGACGACAACATCAACACTAACTTCAGCATGAAGTGAGCTGTCAGCATCTCTCCGTCAGTGATTTAGTCGCTTGCTCTGACGATGTCGTCTGTGATTGGTTGTTTCCTTCGATTGTTGTGTCATTGATTGTATAGGTTTTCCTGTCGGCTGTTTCCCTGCTTCACCTCTCACCTTTCTGTCACTTATCACGTTTTCTCATTGGTTGACAGATTTGGGTCTATGTCTATACATCTGTTGATTGCTGATTGACTGACTGACTGACTGACTGACCTGAATGCAAAGCTTCTAGGAATTCTCTGATATTCTTTGTGTTTCCTCTCTCCATCCAACATTTCTACATTGTCGAAATTCAATTCATCTTCATAGTTGTTACTCACCTGCATTGAAATGAGTGATGAAATGTCATGATACTTAATAATCAATTGGTGTTCATGTTTATGATCCACACCAATTCAACCAAGTGGTCTCAGTAATCTTGTTGTGATTTGTGATATATTCTTGATGTATGGTAGGATGATACGTTTATTGATTTCTGTTGATGACTTTGTAGTTGATGATGCACTGACGGGTTAGGCATTTTGTGATAAAGTTTCGTGGGTATCCCTGTTCTTCTTTGGGGTGGACATCAAATAACTTTCTTCGTTTCTCCATGAAGTTGTTGTGCTGCAGTGTATTCTCGCTCTTTTGACAGCTCACTTCATGCTGAAGTTAGTGCTGATGATGTCGTCTAGAAAAACGACGAAAGTTTCACGATCAAACAATTCAGCTCAGAGAACACAATACAACCAAGACCATCCACCTGAGCTACAAATATTCTCCACTATTTCAATATCTCACTGAGTATTAAAATGAAGTGTACTGAAACGTATTCCTCTCCGTGCTCGTCTGCGACTGTAAACCATGATCTCTGAAATGTTTAATGATAGAAGAGGGCTCCTAGTTTTAACGTAATGTGGGGTAAAACCACTGACTGAACAACGTTGAGGCTAGGTAAAGAAAGTAACTGAGCCGATAAACTTGCAGCTTGCAACAACTCAGTTGCTTTGAGTATGTGTTTTTGTTGTTCAGCCAACTACTTTATGTATACACCATGTTAGCTCTTGTAGGCTTTGGTGGGGAGATAACAGCGAATGTGTAGTGTTGGACAACCAACCTACCAAGGTTTCTGACTATCGATATCGGTCATATAGTTCGGTGTAGACTGGCGTTTTGTGGTCATCGAGATGTTAGCAATCACTGGTTAATGAATTTCCTTAGAATAGCTTAAAGTTGATAACAGTGATATAGATGTATTCATTAGCTTTCATTTATTTATCTGCTATCATTTATTACATTTATGTTCACTTCGCGGGCTTCTATGAATTGGGGCACCATGAACTAAACACTGAAGAGTAATCAACATCATGTTGTCTAGTCCTATTTATCACATTTCCATTGCAACCATCAAGGTAGAAGTCTCACCATCTTCGTGCACATTGATAGGTGTTAGTTGGATGGAAGCAATCAACAGGATGCTCTAATTGACCTAGCTTTCATACTTTTTAGGACTCACCAACAAGACAATAATAATAGTAATAATTCACTTTATTCCAAGCAATTTGTGGTACAATTTGGAATTCTCAGCGTAATATATATTGCAATAACAACAAAATATAGGTATATACATACTATTTTGCAGCCTTTTAAGTTATGTGAAGAATATTAAAAACGAGAAAATTCTACATTGTAAGTTAAATTATTGAAATGAGATTTTTAACTGTCACAAAGTTGATGTGTGATTTCTGTTCTAACACTTTTCTCCTCACAAAATATACGTGCAAGGTAAGGTACAGTTGAATTCTTATACTTAGCTGTACGAGCATACAGTCTTATGTAGTTTCCTCTTGTCCTCCTTGAGGAGATACATGGAGAGAGCTGTAAATAAAGTGGATGCTCACTGTCAGTTAAAATTTTTGTAGTTAGTAGCTTGCAGGAATTTATATGTCGATCAACTACAGTGTTAATCAGTTGAGCCAGAGACACACCACTCACCCTGCTGACTGTCTTCAAAGCCCTACGCAACATAGTCCTTTTTAAGAAGACCAGGAAAGATTAATGGGGAACAATATAGAAAAATAGGTAAAACGCAGGAATTAATAAATTGTAAAAGAAGCAGTTGAGTCATACCAGAAAGCCTCAATTTCTTTACGTAATAAGTTAAACGAAAGATTTTTTACAAGTCAATAAAATATGGGACTACCAACAAAGGTCAGAAGTAAAACGCAACCCAAGATAATTCACACTCGATTTGCTTTCTGCAGAAATACCATTGATGTAGCAGGCGTCATGAGATTTAAGCAGCTCATACAAGTCTTGTTTACGCCTGAGGCTAAAATTAACGGTCTGACATTTAGAGGGGTTTAGTTTGAGACCATTTGAGAGAGACCATTTATCAACTTCAGACAAGAATTCATTTAATTTCGAGTAATCCAAAAAAGAGTTTACTGGAATAGAAATTGTCAGGTTGTCAGCATACTTGATAGAATTAGTTTCAACAGAATAAGGCAAATCGTGCAAAAAAAAGGAAAACAGAAAAGGAGAAAGTACAGCACCTTGAGGCACACCAGCTTCAGTAAGCAATGAAGTGGAGCGCATTCCTTTATGAATAGTGTACTGTTTCCTTTCAGAAAAATAAGAATGCAGCCATTTTGTAACCCATGGATCAGTGTGAGCTATGGCAAGCTTATTTCACGAAAGTGGTCCAGGGACAGAGTCAAAGGATGATGAGTAATCCAAAAAGACACAACGGACATACTTAACACCTTTGTCGAGACTAGAAACAATATCATGATGCAAGACAGTAGCTGCATCTAAAGTACTCTTCCGGTGTTTGTAATCAAACTGTTTTGGATCTCTGAAGGCCATCAATGAAGGCTCAATCACAAGCAGAAGTAATTTCTCCATTGTCTTCAGAAAAGGGGAAGTTATAGCGGTGGGTCGAAAAGTAAGATCTGATCCAAAAGATGGCTTAGGCACAGGTACAATTTTTATCTGCAACCTCGAAGGAATTGATCTGCCCTTCGACGTTCGAATCCATGTCACCAAATGATTGAGTCAGATATGTTACCTTAGGTGTTCCAGTTAGCATTTAGTAATCGTTGGGGATGAGCTGCATTGAATCCGGTTTATTGCACTACCGAGTAATTTAGCTTACTCATCCTGTTCCATTATTAATCATGAGAATATGTTGGAGTCATTATTGACTCCAAAGAATTCAGAACTAGTTGTCTTTCAGTACAGATCGTAAAGTCGTAAAATGCATCAGCTTTAGTCTCCTAATTATTCAGCGGCAATATCGTTGATTTCAAGGTTGAGTAACATGAATTTTGTAGCGCTGATCACTGGTAACAGGCAGGAAATCTAGCTCTAAATTCCTACATTTCCTTAAACATAAATTTATATAATTCCTGTAGAAATGTACTTTAAGTATACAGTGATAAAGGTCTATTTGTTAAGAAAGTTAAAGTAGTTTTGTATTCATCGCAGTAACTCAGAGTGGAATCCAGGCAACGTATTTCGTCCTATTTGGGACTCGTCAGCTAGATGTGCTTACCTGCACTCCAGTGAGGAGTGATATTGTTCCCGCTGAGACTCGAACGCAGTACTCATCGCTTTAAAACGCCAAAGCGTTACCTACTATGCCACTCTATCAACATAGATATAATTTTCGTAGAACAGATAATAAAAAGGTGTTTATGATGTAGAGGAGATAAAGGAGGAAATTGTGTCTGCAATATTATGACTTCTTTTAAACAAGAATCCTAAATCTTTAGCCATCTATTTTCATTAAGAATGCCTTCATCAGTATGGATTATGATGGCTACAGATGAGCTCTGTTGTTTGATGGAAATCTTCACAGAAAGTAAACAACATTGAGGTATATTTCTCATATACCAGATGTAAGATTATCTTACAATGAAAGCATTTTATTTCCTCTTTTTGAGGATTAAGTACTTGACGTAATAAGACTAATTTTTAGTCATTATATTTGTTATTTAACTAATACCGAAAGTAAGGAATGTGTAAGCGTGCTTTTTTTTCAATGCGTCAATTTTTAATTTTAAATTTCGTTATTTTTCTTTCAATAATTCAGGGTTAGATGAGTCATATCATATTGGTCTTAAATGTTATTGGCTGCTTTGAATATTCCACCGTTCCACCAACCAATCAATAGAAAGTGTACTCACACCAATCAGAAAAGCTATTTTTATCTCATCATCCAATCAGGTGATGACAAATATTTTTATTGGCCAGTTTGAATAATTTTTATTTTCTTACATTACTGTTGGATTAATTAATGATGATCTAGAACAGTGTGTTGATCTCATATGTATGTATACATTATCTTGTAATTTTTGTTTGAGTTCATCTCTTCAATCATTTATACACATAATTAGTATTTCAATTTCTGCTTTCTACATAGTGGTAAGTGTGATTTTCTTTCTTATTTATTCATTTAATTATCTAATTAATGTTTTTCTTTTTTACAAAAGATATGAACATATGCCTGTTTATCAAAGACGCTATAATGATAGGAAAAATAATTATAATCTCATGAATCTTATGGGTTTTTATTTCTATTTATTAAGAAAAACGTTCTTTGTTTCACCGATGAAACAGTAAAAAAACCAAACAAACTTCTTATTGTTCTCTTCTTCTACTTATCAATCTCTTCTCATTTTACAATCTGTAACGTACCGTGTTTTATCTTTCTGTTTTACTTCTCATCACTGTTTATTAATTTATTGGTCTATTATCGCTTACAATCGTATTTACTAAGTGAATTTAAAGGACACTCTCACCAACTGTTAAAACAACTGATTATGACTATGTATTTTATAAAAATCTAACATCCTAGCCTAAATACCGAAACCTGATTGGCTATTCCAACAGTTACTAGGGTGGCCTTTAAAGTTACTCTAATTATCGATTGCTCATTGAATAAAATACTTTTTACACTTCTCTCTTATGGTCACTATCTGTTGTTTGTTACCTATGAAATTCTTTATCAGTTTCTATTTTGTTTAATTCCTTTTATTTAAAATATAAGAAATTTAAACTGAATTCCATTTTTAAAGAGTGTGTAAATCTATATGTTTGTGTTTAGTCTTTTTCTATGGATTGATTTTATTACATTTTTCAATATTTTAACCATTTTGGTAAATAGTATGAGAATCCAAGGTGTATTTTCTGTAGGATGATAATCTGTCGCTACTGGGACCTATCAGCTATAACTGCTACCTTACAATACTGTTTGTCATTATTGATTGTGTTATAATGTGTTGAATCTACTAATTCATTTGATTATATAAATATTCCTATTGTGATAATTAGAAGATAGAGTTTGAAGTGAATACATATTTTCAGTGAATTCTCATCAAGCTTTTCAATTATATTGATAAATTAACCAGCAGAGTCATTTGATACTTATATATGACTAATTGAATTCGTGTATATAAATTGGAGGATAACAATAAAGGCGAAAATCTCGGAAAGTAGTCAATCCTTGTTGGTGTGTGTCTACAGGGATTATTATTATTATATTACTTATCCTTTGGGTTCCTAGTGGAACATAGGGCTTCAGTAGCACGTCACCATTTCACTCTCTTCTCTACAGTCTTTAGAACCTGGCTCCACGACTGCCTACAAGCTTTCATTTCTTCCTCACACGATCTCCTCCATGTCACCCTCACCTTGGACGCCCAACTCATCGCTTCCTTTTTGGTTTCCACTTAACGACCTGGCCTGGCACGTGATGTCTCCAGTCAGCCTTCTCACTGTATGCCCAATCCATCTCCACTTTCTTCCTCTGCATATTTGTTGAGTGATAGGTTCTTGGTTGGTTGCTTCGTTGCCAGCTAGAGTTCCTTGTTGCTTATTCTTATTATTCTGGCCATCTGATCTTATCTTCAGTATCGAGTGAGCGTAGACGGCAATTGTTGGCGAATGTCTGTAGTTTGTTGGAAATGCTTTTCGTAACGCGCTGCCAAATCTGTGCAGCATCACACAGAAGCACTGACTGATATGAACTGACTCAGTTTTGGAAATCCGGATGTTGTTCACGCTTTATGCTGAGTGCATTGCAGTGGAGTGGAGTGAAGTAGATCTCCACATTGATTGTTTTAGATTAATGAAGGAAGGCTTGTCTTGTTTGCTTTTCCGATCCTGTCCTTGATATGTTCATGTATGCCTGTGCTGCCACCTGTAGTTGAAACAATGCTGCCTGTCTAGGTAGGGAGGTAAATGAAAAAGACAACTTGCTTTCGATTTCTCCTATTGACGCTGATTGGTGCTTGTTGTTATTGTTGGTGTTGATTGGGTATCTTCATCGCGTCTGTCTTCTTCTCTACATTCACCTGGATGAAGTCCCGCCTTCGTTGCCCTGTCCTGCCTCTTCTGCCAACTTGTTAGTTTTTGCCTGTAGGTCATCGAGTTTGTGCAACATTAGATATTACACATAAATCATCATCATGAGTGAAATCCAAATCTTCTTCTGGAATCTTTTCATCGCATCGGTCAAACAGCGTACGCTCGTCTCACAGTTGTCTGTCGCATGATCGAATCCAGTCCATTCGACCACAATCAGGAAGATGATCGGTGATAGTTAGCATCAATTTTGTCTCACTCCTGTCTTCACTTCGAAGGCATCAATGAGCTTGCCATTGTGAATCACTTGGTATATAGCATCCTCATATAGGATATAGGTGTTGAATGAGGTTGAAAAAGGTTTGTGGCAGTAAAAGCGTAGTGTTGAAGCAGCTGCCTGCTAGGTTACTCAGTCGACGCTGTCTAAGCCATTTTCAAAGCTGAGTTGACTGCCATTCTATGTTCTTTTCTATGATGATGCGTAGCATAGTGTTGCAGTCTGATCCGCA